GCAATAACCTTGGGAAGCCTTTTCAGGTCCCAACAAGGTAGCCTCAGTCATCCTACACGAGCGTGGTTCAGGATTTCAGAACCAACACTCTGCCCTCCAATCATGATAATGGACATGAACAACAGTTGAAAAAAATCCTCCTTATGGTATTTGTTTAACACACTGATGAAATCGTAAGGGCATTCGGAGGCCATATGCTATGCTGATTGCATACAAAAAAACCCTTTTTATTTTCGACCGCCCGAACCGACTTGGTTTCGGTTCGGGCAGATCTCATTTTGAGTTCCGATCGTCCTCCATGTTGGCGAACGAACACAGCTAGGGCTTCAAATTGCCCCTATTCACCCGCCTTCCCAGAAATTTCTCGACGAATCAACGCTTATGCGACGAGCTCAACAACACCACCGGCGGCCTTGATCTTCTCCTCGGCGTCACGGCTGACGTAGCGGGCACGGATGACGACGGGAATCTGGGGGAGACGGCCCTTTCCAAGAACCTTGGAGTAGCCGAGGGGCAGGAGGTCGATGACGGGGGCGACATCGGTCTTCTGGCCGCTCAGGTAGGCGTCACGCTGCTCGGCGGGGACGAGGGACCAGAGCTGTGAAAAAAGTCGCAAGTTAGCGATAATTGTCCTTCTCAATCAAATTCCCGTAATTTTTCATATTGTTGTCGATTGGCCTCCCTGCTCTTTGCATATTGTCGCCATTTGCGCACTTCCGCCTCCAGACCAATCCACAATTTCTTCCTCATATCCGAATCGACTCGCAAGATGTAGATGTAACGTACCTTATCGACGTTGATGGTGGGCTTCCAGAACTGCTGGTTGGTCTTGTGGAAGTAACGCATACCAACCTTACCGAAGTAACCGGGGTGGAACTTGTCGATGTTGGTACGGTGGTGGTGTTGACCACCGGCCATACCGCGACCACCGGGGGACTTGCGGTGCTTGCCGACACGACCGTAACCGGCAGACACATGGCCGCGGCTGCGAGAGAATGAGAGGTTAGTGATATGTTGGTGTGATATTGCGACTGGGCTATGACGAATTTGGCTCTTCTGGTCGCGATCGACGAGAAAAGAATTCGATTCAGACGGCACAGGAAAGGGTGTCGACTCACTGCTTCCGGGTGTTCGAGAAACGGGTAGGCATCTTGTCGGCGGGGGTGTGACAAGACCGTTGATGTTTGGCGTTGAAGGGATCGTTCCGTCTACAGGATGTTGAAATCCAGGCTTAGAGTGTGCGCTAACAAATTCGCTTGTCCCGTGATCGTGGAACCCTAGCCCTGGCTTTGTCAGAACTTATGTCATATGTGACATACACCGCCTTCCTTCAATTCTGCCAGTATTTTACAACTTAGGGCTTTTGCTACATCTGCCAAAGCATCCAACGAGTGCAGATTTTATGGGAAAAACAAATGTTGCTGTATCATTTGTAGGGGTTTTTCTTTTTTATAAAAAAAAATTGTATTTTTTTATTACAGTGCATATCTCGCTATCGCCCTTTTTCAGCGAAGAATTTTGAAAGTCTTTGCACAGTCATCTGAGCCGCCCGCGTAGGAGGTGCTGGGACCAAGCTTCCTCTAATCCAACCAGGCAGTTTTTGCTGGATCCGTGGCGACTCATACCGGCGGTCAATCATAATGATAGCAGCGTAGTCATTCACGTGTCTGATGGCTCGACCGATGCACTGGTTCACTGCTCGCATGCATGAATTCTCGTAAAAGTCCCTGCCCACTGCCTTGCCCGCTGCTTTTCGTTCTGGCTCGGACCCAGACGTCTGTTTGTAGGCTTTCTCCTCCAAGTACTGGATTTTGGCCTGCCATACAGGGCTGCGGATATTAGGAAATGGTAGGCCGATGATAAAGACACCTCGCCCTAGCTTGTCGGAGAAATTAATGCCTTCTGACAACTTGCCACCTACGATAGACAGAAGCAAGGCTCCTGATCCCGATTCAACAGCTTCGGTATACTCTCGCAGCAAATCGTCCGTAGTTGTCACTGCTTCACGAGATTCGTAGAGAATCTTCTTCTTTCGTTCCAGTAGATTCAGAGTACTTTGGCCGTTCCCGTTGGGTATAGGCTTCTTCCAGACGCTCAGAACATGACTGAGATAGTCATAACTGGGGAAGAACGCGACCACCCCGTCTGGGATGACTTGACAGAGGGTTGCTATCGTACGCCCAAGATCGGTGATCTAGTTGATACGTAAATAACACGACTTTCCGCCGTATGGACTTTGGTACATACCATCTTTTCAGAATTTCGTGCCTCATATGTAAAATCAAATTCGTTCCCCATCAGTCCTTGAGTCAAGGATTGCGCCACCAAGTTGGATTTTGGAATGACGTGGCCATAACTGAATGCCCCTAGTCGTTCCGGGGGCAGATACGAAAACAAATGATTCACATAATCTGACATCTGTTGAAAGCATTAGAGAGCTGTGATATCAAAATACGAGCCGTACTTACAGGAGACATAGTGCCACCGGCTAGAATGACGGCCCTAGCGTCTTCGGCAATTTCCCGAAAGTGGTTCGTAGGGTCAAGAAGCATGTATTTCAACAAAACATCGTCTTGACTTTTCTGAAAGAAGAGTCGCCCCTCTTCCGAGGGGTTCATAAGAGGAAGAAGAAAGCTTTGAATATGAAACAAAACCGGCATTGTTGTTTTATCCTTGGGCCGACCAGGTTGTGTCTGTTGTGAGGATTCAAGATAGCCGTCAACTTTCCGGGCGAGCTTGCTCTCTTGCAGATATCTGGAGAGCTTGTAAGGGTTGATTTGGTCAACTCCCTTTCCAGCCATGAGATCTGAGGTTTGCACTGAGCCTTCCAGTACTCCTTTTTGCTGAGAGATGGACTTCATATGCTCCGCAATAGAGCTCACCAACCGGATGACTTGCGCAACATAGTTTCGATTCTTCCCTTTTAATCTGTTCTTGAACTTGCGGGCATATGTTGTCAACTGCCCGATGGCGGTCTGTAATTGACTTAGTGAGACAGTTACCGAATGAATGCCAGCTATTGCATCCATGAGGTTGTGGGCTTCATCGATGATGACAATGTGACCTTTGACGGAGAGATTGAGGGCCTCACGAGCTGATCTTTGCAGCAACAAGGGATATGGAAGTGTGACGATCTAGACTTGGATTAGAGCCGAAGTTATACCTGTGACTGGGTGAAACTGACCTCGCTGTGTTTGATAACTGGACGAGACGCATAGTAGGGACATATTCCGAGCTTTTTCCCAACCTGGGCAATGTCTTCGATGTCTTTGACTGTCGCCAAAGCATGATCCCTGAACTCAAGCGCCAGAGCCTCATCGTCTTTGGAGGGAATAAAGGAACACTTCTTGTCGGCTGCAACACCCGCTTGCTGTAAATCCAAACATCTTTCGTTAATTGCGGTGTTGTTCTCCAAGGCCCGGACTTTGGGGTTGATGCACAGGTTCTTTCTGGACCCTAGCGACAAGTGTTTCACACGCTCTTCAAGTTTGGAGAGGTCATTTTTGCTCTCTGGATCGAGATCGCTAGGTATACTAGATGGGAAGGCGACCCGTCGCAATTCACCGGCAAACTGGCTTAGCTGGGAATGTGTTCTTGAGCAAAAAAAGATCTTGATCCCGTCATCTCCGTCATCTTCTTCATCTTTCTTTTGTGTTGAAAATTTCCCTTGAAACCGTTCCAGCAAGGCTAAAGTGTTTGCAGAGAGACCATCGGAATTCCCAGAGTTATTCTGCTTTTTCTGATTGTCTGTGTCGCTATCATAGTCATCAAGAACAAATTGATCGTCATCGTCAACGAGTTCCAGTGCTGAGTCGTCAAGTCGCTATTTTCTAGTTAATATAACGATCTTGCATTTACTGGGGAACACAGACATACCTGCTTTTTACGGGGTCGGTCTGCGCTGTCCTGGGCCTGTTTCAAACGCTCTTCCTCTTGTCGAATCTTGGCCAATCGGGCCTCAAATTCTTGTCTCTTTTCGGTAATAGCACGCCTAGATTCCCTTTTGGCGTGTTCTATCATCCACTCGGGCTCATCGTCATCGCCTGGAATGTCAGACAGTTGGTATGTAGTCATATGTTTCACATTGGGACCCACATGTTGCATCGACGGTTTCCTGGAAGGCCTTTCGCTTGTGATCTCGAAGCCAGGTCAAAGAACCACAGATTAAACTTAGAGATTTTCCAGTACCTGTATAACATGTTAGAAAAATAAAATAAAATAAAAGTAGTTCTAGCTTACCAGTGGGGGATTCAAATACAGCGATCTTGCTATCTTCCAGGCAGGTGTAGAGGGCTTGCATAAATTGTAGTTGAATATCGTATGGCGTATAGGGATGATGGAAATCCATAACTAGTGGGTGGGGATGGGGATGATATTCAGTAAGAAAGGAGGTACATATGTATGGAGTACTCTGTATAGTCTCGTAAAGGAAGGTAAAAGGAAAAGATAAAAACACAGAAGGGAAAAGGAGAACGTTGAAAAAAAAAAACAAAAACAAAACAAACCTGAATTACACGTAGAATATGAGGACGGGGTGGAATTGACGCCGAAAATGACCGATTTTGATGCCAGAAACGGCTGCCTTTCCATAACTTTGATGCCCTCTGACCGCCTACGGCCCTGTAATACCACTATTCTGCACCCTAGCACTGTTACACCTTCTATACTACATGTACCTAGGTACCTGGGCATGTTTGGTAAGTAATTTAAAGTTAACTTATTCGGTAAGTGGCCATCTGCAAAACTCGTACGTTAGGGTCTATAATTTTTGTAAATACAGAGAAGTTGAACAGGTTGATCGAACCCCTACATTTTACAATACGGTCAATACCGAGGCATTTACATTACAATAAATGAATTGGATCAATCTAAATAACTATGTTGTATATCGTCGATTCTTACAATGCAATGCCATGAAATTGATCAAAACTCTAGTCACTCCTTATTAGTTGCCTCAGAATTATGACAGCATATTTCAGCACAGAATACCCTCAATTCACCTAGCACTCGCATCGCAAGAGCGCTGTGATCTTTGATATACTCAAAAATGAGGAACAAGTTTGAATTCTGTCAATATATTCCTCTGCTGCATTTGAGCCAAGACGCTTTGCCTCTGCTGCAAGGGTCAAGGCAGCAGAAAATAAGGCAGAGGTTGTTGCCCTAAGGAAAGACGAAGTGGAATATTTAGTTGAACGGGTCTTATTATGAAAGCAGAAGAAGGAATGAGACTCACCATGGACGATGGCGTGCCAACACAACCTTGTGTTGCTTGACCATGGACACAATTGTGTTGGCCGAGTCTAAACATATTGCCTTGGATCTTACAAGAAGGACATCTGAAGAGGAGGCCCATCGATGTTGTAGGACTCGGTTAACCTTCATTCGACAGAACAGAAATGAGAGAGACAAGGTAGTTTGTTGCCACAATACCCAAGGTGGATATTGTTCCCTGTCTTGGCCTGGTCCTCCAGTGATCTCGAGAAGATGAGATGGCAACTGTGAGATAATATTGGCCAGGGCTTCATCCGTTGTCAGAACAAGGTCTTCAAGAAGATTATCTCCACCTAGATTTTCAATGGCCGACATTTGGATTCGAAAGCGATAGTTCGATTGTGCTAAGAAGATCATAGCATTGTGATAATCCACTGGACGTGGCGTTTTGATGGCTGTATTCGGCTCGTCAATTAATTCTGTCGCTAACTCTTCATCTGATAGGACCAGTGGTAGTCTAACATTGAAGTCCGCTTCGTGGATGCAGGGCGGATGCGCTGGTATGGACAGCCATTCACAGATGATCAAGGTCCACCAAACTCGTCGACTGATCTCTTGCATAACAGGGTCGTTGGATACCATGGGAGGCTCCTGATCCATTCCCAAGATCTGCCCTATCCTTATTCCTGTTACTTGAAGAACTGGCTGAAGATTAAAGTCCCCAACATTTTTGGCCAGCCCGATCAGTATGGCAATGGCCTGCACTATCCTGAAATCAGGATTCCGCATGAAGTCAGCCTCGTTGAGGAAGAAGAGCGCTGTGTTATACCAGTTTTGAACAAGCTCAGGTGTATTTTCTATGATGCATTAGAATTGAGAAGTATTGGCTTGACTGGGGAAATGTGTTGGGGGGGGGTGAAACCTAGAGGTAGTCCCGCTTTTCTAGCTTCATCCTCGTCCATAAACATAAGACTCATCTATGATTGATCAGATTCGTTGGTCATAGGAAAAAAAAAGAGGAAATATTTTCTCACTGCTATAAAGGCAAAATATACAGCAAGCCAGAGAGTATCGCCATCGAGGAACATCCCGCTCATCCAAGCAGACTCGTGCTCTAGCTCGAATGTTTGCAGATGAACAGCGAAATGGATCCATGAGGTCCACGTAAAGCCATGATGCAATAGAACATCACTGCAGGCTTTGCTTGGCATCCGGATGTCTGTTCGATTCCACACCTTCTGATGATAAGCGCTTTTGCCATGTTGCAAATTCGTCTGGGTTTCGAGCATTTCAATGATGTTTTCCCATCTAGGGTATGTAGAAGAAGTTGTTTTCCGCTGTCGAAGTAGGCTGGGTTTGAATAGCTCGGCCTTTAGTCGATCGTTTTCTTGTTGGAGTTCAAGATATGATAGAACTCGCTCTTTCTGATTTGCACTGTCTCTATCTTAGAACTGGTTTAACATTTATATACCATATTGCTTGACACACCTGGTAACTTGGCCTTTGACTTTGACAACTTCTCTTGCACATGTGGTTTCAAGGCCTCTTGCGAGACAAGTTCCACATGGGATCTGCTTGTCGCATCTCACCCGACGTTTAGCACAGCTAGAGCAAGCAGTGGGTGCCCGTTGACTCTTTCTGGCTGTCATTGAGAATATAGGGAAAATCAAACAAACCTCAAGGCATAAATGCAATGCTGGAGGTATTTATCTATGACTTTGGGGGACATCCTTCCAAGGGGTTGAGATGATTGGCCTTGATAAACTTGGGGCTTTCGGTGATTGGCTAATACGATTACTCCTTATCGAGATTATCGAGTTTATCTGGCTTATCTTATCGAGGCTGTAGGGCTGCCGAGGTCACGAGAGAGGTATTTTAGCGTGATAGAATCGTTGGCTACGACTGAAATGTATATAATATCCCTTTAGTTAAAAGTTCTCCGTTATTCTTTTTCAAAAAAAATTAGAAGTCATGCCCTGAAAAGGATGCAAAATATACGCTCTCACATATGGATGAAACTAGTGACATGAGAGGTCAGCATTGGAATGTTGGAATGTTACGTCGGAAGTAATTGATTGAGATAGGAAGAGGGAAACTATCTAAAGCTGTGGCGGTAGAAGATATAAGCTGCAAGCAGATGATCTAAAATCCAGCATTTAGTAGGGAATTTTCCCTGCCAACTTTAACACCAGGTCCGTCTCAATCGGCTCCTCATTAAGACGCTTTGTCAGATCCCCTTCTTTCTCTTCTGGACGGTGTTCGTCACTAGTTTCCGTGAATAGATTGTCATGGGGCCAATGAGTCTATTCAAGAAGTCAATGAACCGCTCGTTTATACAGAAGAGACAGGATACCTACCGTTCCAATTCGCTGGTCGAACAGTTCGCCCTTTTGCTGCAAGATATCAGCTGTCGCAAAGGAAGCTGGTGTATAGCATGCATCTATGACAGTTAGAAAGTGACCCCAATTGGAAAGGGGAGGAGTACTCACAAACAACGGCGCGTACGTTTTGAGTGGATGGAACACAATTGAAATGCATAGTGCGAGAGTCCCAGAGAATCAGATCCCCGGCTTCAGCAGTGACCTTATGAATCTCACAGCCTCTTTTCTCGAACCACTTCACCTCACCCTCGTCAAAGCCAAACCAATCGCTAGGTCCCCATGTTTCTCGGCCAATTGTACCGGAGTGGGTCTTAAAGAACTCGGGCATAAGCTTTGTAGATCCCTTCATGACGAGAAGACCACCATCCTGAGGACCGTTTGGGGCAAAATTGAGAATACCCTGGACGCACTGCATGCCCTCTCGCAGTGGGCTTTGGTCAATATGTGGCCAAGGCTGTGTTTGTGGCAGAGTAGTACCAGATGGAAGCGTGAAGTTCATTCCATCAAAAGAGACCAGAAGCTGGTCAGTTCCCCACAGTTTTGTGAAGGCTTCGATTACTCTGTCCTCCCTGATAAGATCAGATTCTCAGATGTGTATTGTTAAGATATGGAAATTGGAGACTTACGTTCGGGCCTCCCATATAAACTTCTCATGTTGGATACGATATCCATGATACATTCCCCCCTTGATGTGTGTTGGTAAATGTTGTTCAGTCCAAGTCGAGCGATTGTTCCTATCAAACCCTAAAGGGAAACTTTCCAACCACTGAAACATCTTGTCGATGTAGTATTCACATCTCTCTGGCGAGATGGTGTTTTTGACCACAACGTATCCATTTTGGAACAATTCATCTCGCCAGTCTCCGTGAACTTTGGAATCATCCACGGTGAGTTGATTAGCCGTTCGATGAGGCATGTTATAGGGGTAAAGTTGGGTGCAAAATTGAGTACAAAAATACAAAACCGAGTGACGATAATAGAAATGATTTGGACAAAGTATCTTAAGAAACGTACTTTATGTTCTTTACCTCTTCTATATTTTAAAAAAAAAGCCCAAGTGTGATAATCCGGGGATGTCCCTCGGACCAGTTGACGGAAACTACCGCGTAGATAAGCCAAAACTCGCGCGAGTTTCGCGCGAGTTATAATAAGGATTATTGTTCTTGATAATTTCGAAGGACATCGATAAGTTCTTTGATCATACAAATTGTACTCTTAGATATATCCATTGATCATGACAGGATATAAGTTTGATAGATTCCCTTGGTTCTTCCCAGATCAATGCCATCCTGCTCTGTGTTAACCTTGGAGATCAACCTCCACTATGACTACCCCCGTTCAGGAATTCCAAACTCAACGCTTCGCCAAATGGTGGAAAGATCTTGGTCTTTGCAAGCTACTAGCATGGCAGGCGACTATCCTTATATCACAGATGACCACTGGTTATGATGAAAGCGTGGTCGGAAGTTTCCAGTCCATGAAGCCCTGGGTTAAAGGTCCATCGCTCATTTGTGCAATTTTCGAGACCGAAGCTGACTATACCACTCTCTCACCAGATATGGGATACCCCGATTCGTCTAGAGTTGGACTCATAACATCTATTGTCTTCGTTGGGGGTTTGTTGGTGCTCTGGTTGCCTCACCCACGGCGGACTACTTCGGACGCCGAGTAGGCATGTTTGTCGGATCAACCCTGACGTTTGTGGGAACTATAATCCAGACAGCTGCACAAAATGTTGGTATGTTTATTGGTGGTCGCTTTTTGATTGGCTTTGGGATTAGCTTCACATGTGTTGCTGGCCCCTCGCTGCTCTTCGAACTGGCTTATCCGGCAATGCGTGGCACAATCTCTTCTTTGGTAAGGGAACCCCTTACTAATATATTCGAACTCTTCACCATGCTCTCTGCTGAGCTAATTTTCTTTTTCTTAGTTCAATGTACTTTGGTACGTAGGCTCCATCATTGCGGCATGGACGACGTTCGGCACGGGATACATGTCTACCAGCTGGTCATGGCGTATACCGTCGCTTATCCAAGGAGTTCCCGCACTGTTTGTCATGATGTCTGTTCTTTGTGGTCTACCCGAAAGTCCGCGATGGCTTTGTTCAAACCAGCGTGTAGAAGAAGCCCAACAACTGCTTGCAAAATATCACAGCAACGGCAACTTGCACTCGGCTCTTGTGATCCATGAGATGGAAGAGATTCGTATTTTGTTGGAGGCTGAAGCAACCGCCCAAAAGAGTGGTCAAAGTAGCTGGAGCGTTCTCTACCGGTCACCAGCAAACAGGAAACGAATTGCCCTGGTGGCTACTATTGCCCTCTTGACCCTCTGGAATGGCCAGGGTGTAATCGCATACTACTTCAGCCCCATCTTGACCAGCATTGGTATCACCTCTACACCTCAGCAAACCAGCATCAACGGTGGCTTGCAGGTCTGGAACCTGCTCTTCTCCCTATCAGGAGCTTTACTGGCGGACCGAATCGGTAGACGAACTCTCTGGATGATTTCATTCATCGGGATGATCCTCGCCAACGTCCCATTGACTATATCATCGGCCATGTATGCTCAGCATGGATACAAGGGAGCCTCATATGCCGTTGTGATATTTCTGTTCCTCTACGATGCGGCCTTCAATTTGGCCAGCAATCCACTTCTTTATTGCTATCCGACGGAGCTTCTGCCGTTTGCAATTCGGGCCAAGGGGTTGAGTGTTCAAGTGGCCGTCTCACAGGCAGCGCTGACTATCAATCAATATGTGAACCCTATTGCACTGGATAGAATTGGATTTTACTACTATATTTTCTACCTGGGAATGCTTATCCTCGGGGTAAGTGCAATTTCTCCTACCCTTTCCATTTCCATACCTCGTGACATTGATACTCTCTACATAGACTTGTATTATATTTTTCACGTTTCCAGAAACGAAAGGAAAAACCGAAGTTGAGCTTGCAACTCTTTTCGAGGATCCCAAATTGGATCGTGCAGACCCAATAACGCTTGAAGGGTTGGAAGCAGCACTCGATCATGGCCCAAAACCCTGTGAGAAGAGTGCGGTAATTACTAAGAATGAGGCGTCGAACTCACTTCTAATGTGAGATCTGAGTGTGGAGTGATAGTTATGTTAGGCTTGCGTACATTGTGCAAATAACCACACCATATGGTGTGAATTTTGGTTATGCATATATGATAGTCCGATTATATAGACATATTAAACATTCCAAGGTTATGAAGCTACCTCAATATCCCAATCTACTCTATTTAAACACTACCTAGGTAACACTGACACCCTAGTAAGCTGCTGAGAACCCCGTATACTAGCCGGTTTCTCCAAGTCATTCTGCTCCACAGCCCCCAAATAAACCTATGGGGGCTCTAACTATGCCCCATTGGGTATGTATTCGTATCGATAGAACATGAACTGAGTTCAGTAAATTACTTACACCCTAAAAATATATCGTAATCACTGCATTGTTTACAATATTACGATACCAATTTCTTTTTTATGTAACTAATTATTGGTTATAAATACGAGTATACGATTAGTCATTCCGTACGATCCGAACTGAAATTTACTAAGCTGCCAGGACCGGAGTGAGTCTTAAAGCGGCAGGAGATATACAAAGCCCCACCAGAGGGAATCTCCTGCCTCCACGGATACAAGTCAGGTACCTCATGAGGCTGAAGAATTACATGTATGTTGTATACATAATAGTTATATAAGATATAAGATATATATATATATATATATATATATAACTAGCTTACAGGTACAATTCTATTACTATTACTATTAAAAATATAAGAGTGCCTAGTTAGATACTATTAACACACCATTAATAACTCTTATTCAATCCCGTTTGGCCGTTTGACCTGGCGGGGGGTGGGGGGGGGGGCTACTTTTTTTTCCCTTAAACCACTTTGAACTCCTCTTTTCAATTTCCCCCTCTTTCTTGACATTCGACTTGAACTATCACAGGGGAAGATTGAACAATTTCCTAACCGAAATTACAATGAACAGACCACCACAGGGTGGTCAGCAACGCTTAGGTGCAACATGGTATCCAGGGGGGCAAGATGACTTCTACATGCCAGAGGTCATATCCCCGTCTCCTCAGAGGTATGGATTTCGGATTCACATCTATTCTGCGATTTGAGATCCCTGCGGTCTCTGCGATTTTTGCGATCTCTGCAAAATCTGCAAATGCCGAAAATACGAGTACTAATTCATCCTAGAGTGATGCCAGAAGTACCCGAGAATATGCAGGACAATATCGCTGAGATGGAATACCGCGCTGACCCCCGCCGCGGGCAACAACAACAACCGCAACAACCGCAATACCAACGCGCCCACACTTATCCCGAGCGCACCTCCTCCGCCGTGCAAGGTCAACCTCAACACACTCAAGTTCACGATCCCAGTTCCTACGCGCAATCCGCGACCTATGACAGCATGGATCACCCCAACTTTTCACCATTCCCGGTCTTGCGGAACCCACCACCTAATGTCCCACCCACCGATGAACAGAGAGAAGCGAACCTAGAGCGTGCGCGAATGGCCGTGCTATCGACTACAGACCCGGAGATGCAACTCGCATGGGCCTTGGATGCCCTCGCCTTTGTCGAGGTCGCCGCGCAGAACGATGTCCGCCTCTGTCTGACCCAGCCACCACGCCCGCAGACCCCGCAGGTGGAGCGACAGCTACGAGTCGACGCGATGAACATCGTCGGCTTTCTTGCCGAGCAGCGCCACCCCAAAGCGGAATTCATCAAGGGCATGTGGCTCGAGTTTGGCAAATTTGGCTGCCCTGTCGATCGCAAGGAGGCATTCCGATCATACTCCCGAGCCGCTGAGAAGGGATACGCGCGTGCCGAATACCGGATCGGAATGCAGTTTGAGAGCTCGGGGGAGCCAGAGAAGGCGATCAAACATTACAAGCGGGGTGTTGGGCGAGCCGATTCTGCCTCGTACTATGTGGGTTATCAGATAGATCATGCAGGACAGTGGAGACACTAACATACTTGCAGCGCCTGGGAATGATGATTCTTTTGGGTCAGCATGGACAACTGCAGGATTTCAACACTGGGTTGGAATACATCCGCCTCGCAGCGCAGTCATGCGACCAGAACGCACCTCAAGGTGCATACGTGAGTTCTATGTGAAATTTACCTTGGAAAATTTATTCTAATGGAGAAAAGGTATACGGCATGCTCTTGGCTCGAGAACTCCCTCAAGTGAGCGTCCCGGAAAGCTTCCTACCCCTTGATCTGAACCTAGCACGTGTCAATATCGAAAAGGCGGCATACCACGGGTTCGCCAAGGCTCAGGTTAAGATGGGTGCGGCATATGAACTCTGTCAACTGAGTTGTGATTTCAACCCCGCGCTGTCTCTGCACTATAATGCACTGGCTGCCCGCCAGGGCGAGCCCGAAGCCGAGATGGCGATCAGCAAATGGTTCCTGTGTGGACATGAGGGAATATTTGAGAAGAACGACGAGCTGGCATTTACATATGCCCAGCGCGCGGCCCAGAGTGGTCTTCCGACAGCTGAATTCGCTCTGGGTTACTTCTATGAGGTCGGTATCTATGTGCCGGTGGATATCAAAGAAGCCCGCTCTTGGTACGCCAAGGCCGCTGCCAGCGGCAACAAGGATGCATCTGGTCGGATTGAAAGTATCTCGCGATCAAAGACTCTGTCCAGAAAGGACCATGAGAAGATCGCGATCTCACGCATCAAGTCGACGCGATACACCGCTCATCAGCGAGGTAATTCCCTGGAATCAACCCCAGAGAATATCCAAATGCCAGATCCCTCAAGAATGAGCTTGTCTGACGGCCCACCATCTGGGGCTCCTTACCCGGATCGTCCTCACTCTACTCGTCCCCGGCCTCAACAAGGTTATCAGCTGTCAGACACTCGCCCGAGCTCTGCTTTCGGCGTCAACCCCAACCTTCGATCCAATGCACCCTCGGGATATAGTGGCCCACCTCCCCCGGGCCAGGGGCCCAAATCTCGCACTCCGTCCTATGGGCCTGGTGGACCTGTCGGACCTGGCGCACCCATGAACTACCGCCAGCCTGGCGGCCCTGGAACCCCTCTCAGCGCTCCTGCTGGGCCTACAAGCCCGCAGGCTGGTAACATGATTGGTCCTGGCGGGGCTCCTCGTCTCGATATCGGCTATTCTGCACCAATGCCTCCTCCAGGTGGTCGACGCCCACCACCTCGACTTGACTCGGTTCCGGATCGCAAGCCTATGAGACCTCCTGTTTCTGGTCACCCTCCTGTTTCTAGCCACTCCGGAGTGTCCTCACCCAGTGTGACATCTCCTCGTCCGCCTGGTTCGCCCTCGTTTCCTCCGCGTATGGAGTCTCGGCAACAGTCTCACGGTTCGGGTGCCTCCACGCCTCAGCCGGCACCCTCAGTTGCGCCTTCCGTGGCGTCATCGACTTCATCCGCGCCCCAGCAGAAACCCGCCAAGCCGCCAAGTAAGGGACCCAAGACCTTTGAAGAGATGGGCGTTCCTAGCGCGAATAAAGATAGTGATTGCGTATGTAAACCCTACTTTTTGGCCATTGAAACTCGAACCAAAGCTGACTTTTGCAGATTGTGATGTGATACCCCGGGGCTTTGTTCCCTTTTTATCCTAGCATGTTTGGCTGTCTCCGTTCAACTTGCACTCTTCTCTACTTTCTCTAATCTCGGGGTTTCAAAAAGTTTTTCGCCGTCCGGGAGGCGAATGGTCTCAATGGGGTCTCCTTGTTTCCATATAACTGCATTTGCACCCATTTCATTTTTGTTTTTTCCCTGGACATATTGTTATTCGGGTTGTAAGTTTGAGCATGAATTAGATATCAGGAGTAGTTGTGTGAATTTATTGATTTTCATTCTTGAAACCTCCAAACTCTTCCTATTCTTCCTATATTGTAGCGTCACTTTGCACGTGAGGTCCACGAGTGTGAACTTCATCTACTTGGACCAACTCAGTGCAACTCAGTGCAACTCAGTGCAACATCTTCCCAATCTTTAACACCATGGCTCCGCGTAAGCCCAAGAGTGACGTTTCTGCTGGAGATGATGGTTAGATTATTCTCTGGATCATAATCATCGACCCTGACCTGCTAACCGTGGCCCTCGCAAAGATGCTTCAATGATCCGGGAATACCTTCGTGAGTATCCAGGCAGAATCTGGATCTTGACATATGGTTAATGACTTACTCGACGAGATTGCAGGTCAGCAAAAGTATGTTGGCTCTGATGAGAACTGTTTACTCGGAGGTGGTGGCTGACATTGCCTGGCACAGTCGTCCATATTCAGTTCGATCCCTCATCAGGACAGCACAAGAAACAAACCGCTAAGCAAGCATTGTTTAGGCCATTGATGTTTCTGCCAATCTTCACAACAAAGTGACCAAAAGTAAGACTGATCCTGTGAGCCTTGTCTATGCTTTCCTAATATATGGGTGACTAGCGCAAGCCGCCAAGCTTCTCCGGGGTTTGCATGAGAAGAAAGAGATCGAAGGGAGAGTTTCTGGTAAGTTGGGTATACTTGAAAGATAGAGACATACTAAATCAAATAACGTATAGGCAAACAGATGGTCTACCATGCTCTACAAGATCCCTCGGATATCACAACCCCGGAGGTAGCCGCGGCTCTTAAGCTTGACATTGAAAACCTCGAGAGTGAGATTTCAACTCTGAAGGCAAACGAAAAGAAGGTCCGAGCAGAGTTAGCCGCCCTGCATGCAAAGCCCCGGATATCTGATCTCCGGCAGGATATCAGCCGTCTTGAGAGCGAGAAATCGACGATCCAGTCTCGCCTGGCAAGTCGTCACGAGGGTGACCCTGTTCAGATATCACCAGAAGAAAGAGAAAAACTTGAAAAAGAATGGAAATACTGGCAACGACATGCCAACGTGCGCCGTCGGATCTGTCGCGATCTCTGGGGACAATGCTCCGAGGTACTTCCGGATGACATGACTGCGGCGGAGTTGTGGGTGAGTTTCTGAGAATGACGAGTGACGAGTTGACATAGCCCGAAGGGTCTCCAGTCATCAATTGCTCTGGAATTCTGACCAATGTTTATCAGGAATCTTTGGGGCTTGAAGGAACGCTCCAATAAGAAGATCTTGTGGAGTGGTGATCTTTCAACCTCGTCCCCACTCGTCACATCATTTGACATCTACGGAGTACGAGAGATACAGAGGGGATTCTCCAGGCTTTTAAGGCTGTGTATTCTATTTCCGATGAACATCTGATTCGCTGGTATGCACGAGCAGTTCGAGTATGGAATGGAGGCAACGAGAGAGGAGGCGAACCGTAATATGGGGGGACATTATCATGTCAGTGGTGAGATTGTATAAGATAGTGTGGGTGGTTATATGTTATGTTATATTTATTTTTTATAATTACATTTATACTCTTCTACTCTTCTACTCTACACCTTTGTTGTTCTCTCTGTTGGTGAATCATCGCAATATCTCTCTCTCTCTCTCTCTCTCTCGCTTCCCCACCGCCCCGAGAGCCTATCTCTCTTTCCCCTCTCCAATCTCCAACCCCTCCCACTTCTCCATGCAGGTGTCTACTCGTCCTCCGTCATCTCATAGAACCAGTCATTCAGAGATGAGAGGTCGTGCACCTCTTCCGGTTGCATCTGGGGCACCCCAGAATCCTCAGAATCCCCAGAATCCCCAAAATGGACATTCTCGCAATCCATCGGCACTTGACGTTGCCCGCAGTCCGCCAAATCAAAGCAATAAGAGTAAGTCTTGATTTTCCCCATTTATGTATTCATATCCCATTATTATACACCTCCCAGAAATACGAGCTAATCTTTTGCCATCGTCTATCCAGACACTAAACATGTTCCGTGCAAATTCTTTCGTCAGGGTGCCTGTCAGGCAGGCCCCGCTTGTCCTTTTTTACACTCCACCGATGCCGGAATTGATTACGCTCCTTGCAAATATTTTGCAAAGGTATGAGATTGACATTGTTTCGAAGTTCTCCCTTCGGTACACGTTTTCCGAGGCCTTCGGAAGTTAACGGGGGCAATGGATTTTAGGGAAACTGCAAGTTCGGCGCAAAATGCGCACTGGCGCATATCCTACCAGATGGACGAAGAGTCAACCGGCCGACTGGAAACATGGGAATGGGAAGCGGCCACCTCAATCTGGGCGGCCGAGTGAATCCGCAGACCTATGTCAATCAGGACTCCGCCTTGACCAACTCGGTGCTCTCCCAACAGCGCATGAACGGTCACGAGCAGCCTCGATATGCCCCGCAGCTGGCCCCGCAAGAGGAATATGGATCCCTGCATGGGCAGCAACAGCCATCCTATGATGGAATCCCCACAATCGATACGGGTCTGGCCTCCGATGCCGGCTCTAAGTATGGATCTCCCGCAGAAGATGTCCGATATCCCATGTCGCCTAATAATAACCACTTGAGCGCTCTCGATGCGGGTCTCCCGGCTTCATTCGACAGCCAAGGTATCTCTCATGCTGCCCGTTATGGTCCGGTGGCTGCTTCCATGCCCTCGCAATTTGGATTGGAGTCGCCGCCACCCCAGAGACTGGGACAAGCAGATGTATTCCGGAACCTGCGTGACGTCGGCTATGCTACCAGCTTGCGCAAGCCTTCCTCGCACATTGGATCTTCTCCTCCTGCTCCCGAAGATACAGTCGGCACCCGGTTCATGCACTCGTCACGCCCCGTCAAGCCACGCATGCTTTCCGCTAGTGTTCCTCGTCCGATGGCCCTTGAGGACTGGGATGAGAACTTCCCTATGGAAGAGGATTACCTACCAGTCAACCTGCACGACGATGTTCTGACCCCACAGGAAAAGCTGCGCCGTCTCTCCCGCACCGACAACGACCTAAGCTCCAGCCACCGCGACGTCTCCGGCCTTGGCATGACCAGCACCAGTTTCTCTAAGACAGGTTCTCCCCTGGCGTCGAGCCCGTCGCGATTTGGCGCATTGTTTGCCAAGCAGCGCCAGCGCAAGGAAGAGGAATCTCACGGCTCTTCCTCTTTCCACCTCGGTTCTCCTCTCCGTGAATCATCACTAAACCCAATCACCAGTCCTAGCCTGGGACCCATTGGCAGTAGCCGGGCATCCCACGAAGGGACATCGTTTATCTCGAGCCCTGGACGTCAATCCTCAATGTCGATGATTTCTGAGCAGCTCGGCGGCATGGGCCTTCACCCTGGCTCTGCTCGTCAGTCGTCTGCCGGCCCTAGCGCCCGCCTTGACCGAATCATCTCCTCTCCTGTCAACACAAGCAAAATCGAGGAGGAAGAGCAGAGTGACCTGGTCTTCGACATGGAGGAAGAGGTCGGCAATAAGCGGAACAGTGTCTCGTGGAGTGAGAACAAAGAAAGCTCCTCCTAATCTGTCCTCTCTTTGTTTCAACTTTTTTTATCACGAATACATCAAGTCCAAGTCCAAGTCCAACGTTGGGACATGTTCATATTCACCAAAAACACAGGAATACGGTTATCGGAGTTCAATTGGGGCATACATCAAGAGACAAAAACAAAAGAAGGGTCCAAGACAATACATCCTTTTCTTCTCTTCAAAGTGAGATATGTCTGGTTCAGCAAAAAAAAAAAAAAAAAACAAAAGGCGACACAAAGGAAAAGCTTCACATTCCCTCTCTCTCATAGACTGGCACTCAGCATCATCTGCCTTGTTTTATTCCTCCGCTTGGAGTCGTATCTAGACCAGTCATATGTGTTTCTCCTGGACTTTCAGAGGATTCCTCTGGGCCATTTACTGTATTAATTTCTGCCTTTTTCTCTGTTTTTATTCTCCATTTTCTGGATATCGCACTGTGTCTGGATTGACACATCTTGACTCTTTTTTTTCTTCTTTTCAGATCTGCTTTTCATGATTTCACGACTGCGATCTCTGGTGTTTTCCTTGGTGCTTTGTCTTCTTCTCCCTTGTTCTTTGTCCCCTATTGTCGGAATATGTGGTCTTGATCACCAGGACTGCAGGCATGTACAAACTGGAGATGTGCAAATAAACAATTTCTTGATACTTTTATAATAATTCAGTAGATAAATCATCCAGTAATTGAGAGACTGTGTTAAGGACCGAAATTAAATAAACCATTTCATGTTCTACCTAATAATACACCCTAAACTAAATTGACGCCTCAAGGATTACACCTTTTAAACCGAATCATGAAACCCCAGTATGTTCGTTCACCTTTCTTATAACTAAGCCTCATCCAGGTACAACGCAGTACCTTTCAAATTGACCAAATCATCCGTCGTAGTCTGAGCCTGAATCTGTTGTGTTTGTTGCATAGCCTGGTGATCCGCTACAGCACCACACTCCCGCGTTCCATCAATATCCATAGCATCATCATCCCGAGCACGATGAAGATATCCATAGAGCTGATTCGTACCCGTAATGACATGTTGCACTAACGTCTCAACCGCCCTACCAGTAAGTGCGTCGGCACGGCCCATAAGCTCAGTCTCCACCTCAGCACGCCGGCGCTTCGCAGCTTCGTCACGTTCCGTCTGCTCATCGGCCAGCTTGCGTTTCCGCTCCTCGACCTTCTTCTGATGTTCCTCCTTGGTAGCAAGGTATTTGAGGGAATGGCCGAGTTTGTGCTTTGAGGGCGGGATGAAGTCCACCGGCGGTGCAGAGAAGAAGAGCACGCGGCCATGGTCATCGCAGTGGAACTGGTGGCGGATGTCTTCTGGGATGGCGGCGTTGGCTGTGTCGTTCAGATGGAAGACTTCCACGGGCCGCGGTGCGTTCGGGTTGTACACGGCTGGTGGGGCTTGCATGCGGTTTTGGGGATAGCCGGTATAGGGGGTTTGTTGGGCTGCTGAGTATGGCTGGGCTGCTGGTGAGGGCTGGTATGCGCCTGCTGGTGTTTGCGGGGCAGCGGCAAGGTTGCTTGCGCGGCGTTGGAGGGACGCCGTAAAGGCTTGAGATGGGGTCATTTGGTGGAAGCCTGGTGGCCGGATGGGGGCGGGAGTAGTGTGTATGACGATTGGGGGCGTTGCTGGAGTACGAACGCCTGGGTCGATGATCGTTCTGGGAAGTGGTTGACGGGGTGCTACGGACTGGGGTAAAGAGGGAGGAGGCGGGGATGGGGTTGGCTCGGGTGGTGGAGATTCCTAATGTTGTCAGCTTTCGATGATCTTTTCTCATGTGAAATGAAGACTTACATTCTCATCTCGTGGACGGCGGTGAACAGCGCCAGCAACAGGGGGTGCATTGTCGGTTCCCCAGGTCGGTCGAGGAAGGTCATCGGTCTCCTTGGAATCCTCTTTCAGAAGATGCTTGATCGGACTAGGAACCTTCTTGATCTTGCGAGGCACATCAAAGAGATCCATCTCATAGTCTTTCTCTCGCACTTCATCTGGCAGACAGCTGGCCCATGTCTTGATCTTGTTCAACTTGTGTTTCTCCTCATTGTACCGAGCCTCGCACACGTAGATCTCCTTATCCGGTGCGAGATCTCTTGGGCGACCACGGCTGTAGCGGGTGAAGAACATAACAAAGCAGCGATCCACTATCTCGTCAATCCGGTGGTCTCGGTATTGCCCAGTCTTCACAACTTCGTTAGGGTAGAAGTGCTTCTCGAAGTGATGTACTGTCTGCTCAGGGCGGTAATACCAACATGCGTTGATCCATTTCTCCCCATCGGAGTCCTGCCAGGTTCGGTAGATCTGTGCAACGATGGGCTTGCTCACATCGTTTTGGTTTTGGATATGAACCCAGTCGCCAACCTTCCACAGTTCGCCGCGGTGGAGAATACCATCAGGGAGTGGGAAGCGTCCGTCTTCCATCAAGAACTCACTATCGGGCTTCTTCTTTTCTTGCTCGGCCAACTTTCGTGACTCGGTTTGCAGATCAACCGCATCCTTGAAGATCTGACTGTCCGACTGGTTGTAAGCTTTGGCGTTTTCGAACATCAGATCAAGATCGCGCATGAAATGGTCGACGGAGTTATACTTCTTGCGCTTGGACTTGCGCTTGATGATGTCGATGGCGATGGGTTCCTTAATCTCCATGTAGTAGTCCGGATAAGCGGCTTTGTCGGGGAGGCGTTCAAAGTGGGTGATCTTCAGGTGGCCACCGGCGCCTTTGAACTTCCGAATTCCCTTTAGAATTGTCTTGATGCGGATTTCCATAGGTGTATCCACGCGGGGAGGACGGCCTCTTTTCTTGCGAAGGTCGGGTTCGTGCTTTTGAGTCAATCCACGCTTGAAGCCGGGCTTGGGACCGGGCTTCTTCCTTCGTCGGCCCTCATCCTCAGAGTCGTCATCCTCATCTTCTTCTTCTTCCTCCTCTTCCTCATCGTCGTCAGGAAGCGGATCGGCCTCTGGGATCTCTCCAAGATCAGGTAGCTCTGCCTCCTCAGCGGGGATTAGACCTTGGGCGGCCAGCTTTCTGAACTCGGCGGCGAAAACTTCCTGGAAATTGTCAGTTGAATGCAGAGGGTGGCCGAGTTTACTCAAACATACTTTGACAACCAGCGCATCTTCGTAGGCCTGTGATCTAGGTCTATTATATGTTTGCGCATTGTGCGGGATCTAGATCGTTAGCTAGTTGCCAAACCTGGAGGGGCGCAACCACTTACCAAGGCGCAATCGCGAACAAATTCGGAAAAGTGCTTGTATTCCCTTTTGTTGATGCGCGCTTTCAAAATACTCAGGGCCATCGGCTCCTTGATGATATCGTAATAGTCGGGAACATAGCGTTTGTTGACACTGCGATGGAACAATCGCGACGGGTCGTGGCCACTGCGCAAGATAACCATTAGCCAGCGATCATTGTATATCTCAGGGTTCAAGCATACTCTTCTTCTCGGTAGTCATAAATTGCCATGACCACATCCATCATCATTTTCCATGTTTCGCGGTTGATCGCACCGTCATTCTCGATGGAGTTGACGGGTTGTTCACGCGGGGGTTGCGATAGCTCTTTCTCGGACTCCATGTCGTTAGCGACAAGCGCGTTTCCACGCGGTAAACTTTGACAGCCTTTGAGATCAAAGAGATCGAAGCAGGTAAGACAGAATTCAGGTAAGACAGTAGGGAAGCCCTGGAGAGGTCGGAGAATGTTTTACGAGCGCGTGAAGGTATTGCTGACTCAGCAGACTATTTAACGTTACGTACGGTAATTTGTGAAATGTAAGACTGTAAGAAATGTAAGAAATGTAAGAAATGTATGAAATGTATGAAATGTATGAAATGTATGAAATGTATGAAATGTATGAAATGTATGAAATGTATGAAATGTATGAAATGTATGAAATGTATGAAATGTATGAAATGTATGAAATGTATGAAATGTATGAAATGTATGAAATGTATGAAATGTATGAAATGTCATGACACTGGTCTCAAACATTTGAATTCATTTGGACATCTGGACGTATCTTCATGAGAGAGTACCATGTCATTTCTATTTGCTCTCTCCTGTGAGTGTCTGTGCTACCTATTGTGGCTAGAGATTGAAGTTGTCACTCAGGCCTAATGTACTTTCAATATACATAGCTCTTCAGCTATGGTTGCTATGATTGGCTTGGTACTTGGGTAGTCTCACCCTGTTTGCAGCTGTGTTTGCGACTTCAATGTTTTGCATCTGAAGGAATAGAGAACTGGCTCATATATACCAGTGTTAATTCTTTTCAGGGCTTAAGTTAAGGGAAGTCTTATACTATTTGGCTTGCATTGCAGCCTCAGGTATACCAAGCTATACCCCACACGGCAAGTCGTCATATCTTCCTGACTGTGGAACTTCCCAGTTCCCAAGTTCTTAAGATCCTCCACCTCGCAGTTCCCTTTGCTTCTTCAGGAATTTATCACAATGAGAATTCGAGTCCGTGGACCTTCAGGGCAGTCAACTGTTACTTTGGATGATACCGCAACCATCCAAGACCTTCAAACCCAAATTGCGGAGAAGACCGGTCTTGCTACTTTTGACGTTAAATATGGATATCCTCTCAAACCACTTGGGCTTGACAGCTTCCAACCAGACCAGAAGATCTTAGAAATTGGGATAAATCTAAACGGAGAGTCACTCATCGTCGCACAGAAAGAAGGCGCCACCCGAGGCGTGAGCGACGATGCGCCAACAGCCCCTATAGCGCCATCGCAGCCATCGCAGCCATCGCAGCCATCGATATCGCAAAGACCACAAGAGAACGCCGAAGACCCACCAGAAATCGCCTCCCCAGATCATGCCGGGACGTTCGTTCTCCGGGTGATGCCCGATGACAACTCGTGCCTTTTCCGAGCAGTGGGCGCTGCCGTCATGGGCGATATGGACACGATGGTTGAGCTACGATCGATTATTGCAGGAACTATTCAATCAAATCCGACGGAATATACAGCGGCGATTTTGGGCAAAAAGCCGGACGAATACTGTACTTGGATCCAGAACGAGGACTCGTGGGGTGGCGCCATCGAGCTCAAGATTCTCAGCGAATACTTCAATATCGAGATATGCTCCATCGATGTACAGACTCTGAACATGTTCCAATTTAATGAGGGAGCACCGACGCGGTGTATTGTGGTGTACTCGGGGATTCACTACGATGTCCTGGCGCTATCCCCCTCTCGCCCGCCTTATACTCGTGCCAACCCACTGCCACATGGAGATACCAAGATCTTCGAGGCTGTGGATCCGGTTGTTCTGCAAAAGGCCAAAGAATTGTGCCGGGTGTTGCAAGGCAAGCACTACTACACAGACACTTCTGGGTTTACTGTTCGCTGTAACATCTGCGGAGGCACATTCACTGGAGAGAAGGGTGCTACGAAGCATGCCGCGGAGACCGGGCATTACGATTTCGGAGAGGCGAGCTAGTATTACATATATAGGATAGATGAGCATACTGCGGGGTAGTTTATAGTCATATGAAGGCTGCTTCATTGTCATGAATAAAGTGGTATGCAGTGTATGGCATAAAATCGATCTCACATATCGTACAAATAGTCTTGGATCTCATAGCATGGCAACCTCATCTGCATCATCTTCCTCTTCTTCTTCTCCCGATTCTGCGCTTTCTTCTGGGTTACCTCCCCACTCCACGTCATGGTGCACAGGATCCGTGAAGAATTCATGCTGCAGGGCATCCGCGGCACTGAGGCGCTTAGATGGGTCTAGTTCCATTAGTCCAGACAAGAGGCGTGTTGCTTGCTGCTCGCTTTCCGTCAAATCTTCCACACAGCTGGACCATTTCACCAGCTTCTCCCAGCTGTAGCCTTTCTCGCCGATAGTTGGGATATTTGTTTCAAAAATCTGTCCATGCATGGCCGCGGCGGTCTTCATACGTTTGGTGCCGAAGATGCTTGACATTTCGATCATCGCATCGATATCGTCGGCAGAGTTGAAGAAGGGGAACCGACGTCCCAGCAGAGTTAGAAGGATGACACCCACTGACCACATGTCGATCTTTGTGGTTTGTGATGTGCATTTAAAGAGAACTTCCGGCGCTCGGAAGCCTCGAGTTCCAGCGCGGTTTGCTCGTCGTGATGGCCGGGAATCATTCTTGGGGTAGCCGGCTGAAAATCCCGTGGATGGGGGTTTTTGGAGTAGTAACTTGAAAGGATACGGCTTCGCCGGACATAACTTTGGTGTGTACATAGACATGGGCTGGTGTATTCTGAACCTTGGCGCTGTTGGGATAGTCAGTAAGTGCATCGACATATGGCAGCTACAAATCATACCTCTGCAAGCCCAAAGTCAACCAAGACACCTTCTTTCAGGTCTGGATTGTAGAGAAAGTTGCTAAAAGACATTAGTATAATTCAGATCACCGATAATGACACACTTACGTTGGCTTGATATCTCGGTGAAGAATTTCGTGTTCATGTACCGAGTTCAAGGCGGTCATGAGGGATCGTAGATAATGGCGCATGTCTGCAACCATGAATGTGCGGTATTGAATGCGAAAGTCGGTATGGGGGAAATAGGGCAACACAGCTACCACTTGATCCTGGTATCGGAAAGCAGTGATCAGCGGGCAGACAGACCCGCATCCTCGGAGATCGTGCAACAGTTCCAGCTCGTTCTGGATTCGCAGCGGGCTACTCGTGACATAAATCTTCTTCAATGCGACGAATTTTGTTTTTTTCCGCCCGGTTGGCTCGCCTTCAACTCGCCGTCGTTTGGATGGAGGTGCCGCATAGTTGTTTTGGGCTGATGCTGAGACATCCCAGTCGTTTTGGTGTGCATCATAATGAAGGTCCTCTGCCTTGTAGACCGTGGAGAATGTACCTATTAAGCCTGTTAATAAAGAGGCCTACTAATAACGGCTGAACCAGTCATACCTTCTCCGATTCTATTCACTAGACGAAACCGATCCGAGATTCCTGGGAATGTGTCCTCGAGCTTTCTCATATCCCCTCTGACGGATTCGTCTACCTCTTCCTCATAATCACTCTCCTGGTGCGCGTCGCTTTGTGAAACTGGTTCGTCATCATGTGCCAGCGAGTATTTGTGCTCTTGGAAGGAGTTGCTGCGCTTTAGCTCAAATACGCCGGGGGCAGCGCGGAGACCCGACATGGTGGCACGGAAGACAATAATGAGTCTATGAGTTGGATCTATTGTGTAATGAAGTGGAAAAACAAAGTCATAAGATCGTGTCGCGTGTAAGTCAAGGTCAAGGTCAAGGTCAAGTTCTTTGAATGTTTATCGCAATTGCCAAACACAACAATTACCATGCGGTGACAAATATGACAATACAACTGCCGGGCAAATCAATCAATACATGGCGGTGAAAGACCAACCCTGGAGGGGTCTGCATGACTTAAGCGGTAAATTAACCTTTGACCGCCTGATTACCTAAGTTAAACCAAAAAGGGCAAAAGCCAAACAAATGGAGCTTATCAACAAATCGGCTTTCCTCCCCGCTTTCACCTCTTTTTTCTCTCTTTAACCAACAATGGAGGATAGAATTCAATTCAACATAAATGAATCGCTCAAGTATTACTTGAGTGATCCCGCTTCGATCCCGACCCCTGATGCGGACCCGGAACTGTTGGATTGCGAATCGGATCCTGATCAACTTTCGCCAGCGCTGATTGACAGTATCTTGAACCCGATCGTGGATGCCGTGGCGGAGAACCCTGAAGGACTAACACGAGCATCATTGTTTGACTCGCTACAATTTTTACTAAAGTGCGCACCGGTCCCTTCCCAACTTGCCCATGGAGGCTGGCGCCCGCCTGGACTCGAATCTGACGAACCTTTTCACTCTTGCAGATACGCGACCCTTCTTCCTGCAAAGTACCTGAGCAAACTTTTGGATTTGGTTGTCTCAGGCCTGTCTGTTGAGGCGGATATCATCCATGGCGATCTTGAATCCGACGAGCAGGATGCCATTCAACACCACAAACAGCTTCTGGAGATGTACGGGTTCCTTCTTCAGTGGGCCTTGTCTGCCGTAGAGGTTAAGGCCGCAGAGAAGCCCACTGAAGCAGCACCCGTGCGACGAGGAGGACCCAAATCGAAGAAATCAGCGAATAATGGCCAGTGGGATTGGACGCCCCAGATCCAAATATCCATGGAGACCATGTGCAAGGTGATGAAGCTCAAGCTAGGACGTATTTTTTTGACTACTTCCGATCGCGACACTTTTATTACCCTATTCACGCGCACAATATACCTGGTCCTCGAGAGTGAGCAGCGGGTGAAGAGCATGGCCATTCGCATGCATGCTTTCAAGGTTCTTTGTATCGCAGTGAAACATCATGGCCAAGCCTTTGGTAGGTGCCCTGATTTGTATCATGGTTGAGCGATAGCTGACTTGTAGCATAGGAGCTCAAACTTCGATTGTGCAGAGCTTGACTTACTTTGAGCATCTCTCCGAGCCTATGGCCGAATTCCTCCATATTCTGGCAGAACAATACGACTATCCACAGCTTTCCGATGAGATCCTGAAGTGAGATTTATATCAGCAAACTGGTCGGATAGTTGCTAACTTTACATGCAGGGAGCTTGGAAACAAGGAGTTTAATTCTAATGATACGAGAGGTCCCAAGTCTGTATCGACGTTCATTATCAAGCTGTCCGAGCTTGCTCCCAGATTGATCATTAAGCAAATGACTCTTCTCGCCAAACAGCTAGATAGCGACGTACGTGACACTTGCAGTTTTCCCAAAGCTCTACTAACAAGTGCAGGCATATACTCTCCGCTGTGCAGTGATTGAGGTCTGCGGAAACCTCATTTCCGATCTCAGCCGACAGGAGGAACGCAGTGATAATTATAAGACGCAGATCAACGCCTTTTTCGACGTACTGGAAGAAAGATTCCTTGATATTAACCCTTACTGCCGCTGTCGCGCGATCCAGGTATTCATGCGAATCTGCGATTTGGAGCAGAAGTTCCCGAAGAGGCGACAGGCTGCAGCGGAACTTGCAGCTAGAAGCTTGGAGGATAAGAGCAGCAATGTGCGACGAAACGCGATCAAACTCCTGTCCAAGCTTGTTTCTACACACCCTTTCAGTGTTATGCATGGTGGGCTCCTCTCATACAAGGAGTGGACAGATAGACTGGACACGGTTGACGCCGAGTTGAATGCCCTACGTCCTCCTGAGACGCCCGGCTTTGAGGGGGGCGACATGACCCAGGTTGACCCCGAATTGTTGGATGACGCCACACAGATCCCAGATGAATCTCCATCGAAAGCGCCCCGGATGAGTGATGAAGAGAAGGCAGCTGCTGTGCAGAAAGCCGCAGAACAGGCGGCCACCTCTGAATTGATGACACGCCTCCAACTGACGAGGAAGTATTACAACGAGGCCATCCGGTTCATTGAAGTGCTTCACTCTGGATCCACCATCGTCACACAGTTGCTTTCATCCCGGAACAAGAGTGAGGTTATTGAAGCGATGGATTTCTTTGTTGTTCTCGATGCATACAAAATCGAGACTGCCCGCGATGGGATTCGCCGTATGCTGCGCCTTATTTGGACCAAAGGCAACAGCGACGAAGGAAAGGGCGTCCAGACACATCTGATTGATTGTTACAAGGGCCTCTTCTTCGATGCACCAGGCTCTTTCACACCCAACGATGCCGCGAACTACATCGCCCGCAACATGATCAGTTTGACGTTTGGTGCAACTCCTGCAGAACTGACCTGCCTCGAGCAGTTGCTCAGCACGATGATGAAGGCTGGAAATGTATCCGAGGCAGTCATCGCCAAGCTATGGCAAGTTTACAGTATCCAAAAGAAGGAAATCTCACGGACTCAACGCAGGGGCTCAATCATTGTCCTCGGAATGCTTGCCCTGGCAGATCCAGAGGTTGTGGTGAAGGAGATTGAGGCTATGCTGCGAATCGGTCTGGGTGGCTTTGGAAGGGCTGACCTTGTGCTCGCTAAGTACACCTGTATTGCGTTGCGACGCATGATCCCCGGACGTCAAGCCAAATCAAAAGAGGTTGTTGGCATTCCCAAACTTGCCAGCGACCACTCTGTTTTGGTCAAGCTGGTGGCTATGCTTGAGATCGAGACAGCCAGTAAGGAATGGTATGGAGTAGCAGAGCACGCGCTCAACGCCATCTACACTTTGTCCAAGCACCCCGACGTTCTTTGCTCTGACATCCTCCGGCGAAAGACGAGATTCGTCTTTGCGCCACACCTTCAACAACGCCCACCTTCCTCCCATGCCTCTATCAGCGGAGAAGAGGAGCAACAGCGACCTGGGACTGCATCCACTGACGGCCAGGAACCTAAGCCCAAGCCAGCATCTGCTGCACTCTCGCAGCTGCTGTACGTTGTTGGCCACGTTGCAATCAAACAGATCGTCCATCTGGAGCTGTGTGAGCTCGACTTCAAACGCCGCAAAGTCGAACAAGAGAA